CCGAGGATTTGAGAGCCATTCCCTACATAAAAGGAGTCTCCGAAGCAGTCTCACGACTGTTGCAACCCGCTGGAGTAGGCATGGCCCATCGAACTCAGGCAGCAATACGCCGCCGGATAATGCAACCTAAGACAGACTGCCTCCCACTGAAACCTCTGCAGTTGTCTACAAGGTACTTTGCAACGGTGGAGACTGTAAGTACGTCAGAGGAACAGGCCGCAAATTGCAGAGCCGCTTACACGAGTGCAAACTAGCGGCTCGGAAACTGGACCCAAATATGCAACTTGCAGCACACATGCAGAGACTGGCCACGACTTCGATCTTCAAGGAGCGACTATCGTAGGCTGAGGAACCTCGGAAGCCGAGAGACTGACGCTTAAGGCGTGGTTCTCAGATACCAACTCTGTCAACAGGCATCTGGACCTGCCTGTGGCCTACAAAGTCGTCCGCCATTATGTTGGCAAAGAACAGAACAAGGCCGAACCAAAAGTAAGAATGTCAAGTGAAGAGGACCCCACAACGAACCGAGCGGAATAGGAGGCAGGGTTACCTGGACCCTCTACAGTGGGGACAAGGCACAACAGTAATGCTGTTCATGACCCGCCCCGTTATTTTGCCATCCGTGCCTGCGACCAGAAACCAGTTCTCTACAAGCGTGCAGGCTTCCGTGTCAAGGTCACACGCCGTAACTCCAGAGATGTGCGCAGAAGACACACGATAAGATAGCGTGGGAATGGACGCGGCGTGGACATGGACCAATCACAAGTGCCACCCCCTCCCCCTACCAACCCTATTCACGCGAAGCCAACGCTTGCTGTTTTCTCATTTTCTCTGTCGATGGCTTCTCGTGTGGAGCCGAAAGCTCAGGATAATAAATTAATTGATCTAGCGCTGGACTCGTCTTCTTCATTACTGACAAAGACAAGAGGGGCTGGAACGGTAATTTCGGACTTATTAGTAGTCATCAGCTATTCGCACCCAGTCCCAGATTTTATGGCACCCGAGGCTCGAACACGCGATCTTGTTGGCTGGAAGTCCAACGCGCCAACCACTGTACCACGGGCTCGTTACCTTGCCGGCTTTGATCTGGAATATTAACAATGATAGATGGGCGCTTACCGATTAGCTATAGAGCCCACTTGTACATTTGTGTCTTTGAGTTCCCTCTCGAGTCCCGCTACCAGCCGTTCAGTGGCTTACATATAGGCCGAAATATATTACCGACAAAGACCATGGGGGATTGGAATGGCCATTTCTGGCTTATAAGCCGTCATCAGTTAATCATACCGAACCCCCCGTCTTGTTCCCGATAAAAATCGACAAGTCGACGAGCCCGTGGCACAATAGTTAGTCTCTTGGACTTCTAGCCGATAAGGTTGCGTGTTCAAGCCTCGGGTTAGATATGACTAACGGATCACAGCTAATAAGCCAGGCTCCCTTGCCGTCGTCGGCAATGTATTTTTGTCTGCTAGTACTTGAGCAGCCGCTGGCGGGACTCTAGAGCAAGTTCCAAGGCATTACAGATTTAGTGATTTGCGTAAGCAATAGGTGAACGCTCGTCTACCACATAGAGGACAGTTTAACTAGTGCAGCAGTTTCCTCGTATAATGAAAACAGTCACAAGCGATCCCAATTAAGAGATTGCGCTCAGTGCTATTGCCCCTTCTTCACTTCTATGTAAAAAAACATTGCTGTCAAAACTCCCAGCGACATGCAGCCACGATTTAAGTGGCCGCCAAATCACAGCTACAACTTGTGTTGAGCTCATTAGCTTCATATTGTCACATTTCTTGCCTATAAGTGAGCTAGACATGAACAGATCGAGACAACCAAAGTGTATTCACCAAGCCCGGACTGGA